TTTAGATTTTGCTTCTATCATTGCTAGGCTAGTTTTTTATGTTAAAACTTCTTCCTTAGAAGCCTTTTGACCAGGAACATTTATGATAGCCACTTTGCCAAGAATATTAACCATCGCTGTCTTTATTTTTCGTACATTATGAGCTCGTCTTACACAGTATTGTTGATGGGCCTGTAAAATAACCATTAGTTGGTATAGTATTAAATTTTTTTATATATTTGTAACAGATTATATGAAATTAAAAAAAATATCTTATATCAATTTGAATAATGTTCTTCCAATATTTATTCCATCCCCTTGAGAATTTTCAATTTGATTTATTTTTACATAATAATTCTTTTTGAGCCTATCATAACACATACTTTTTATTACTAGATTGTCTGCATTCTTATTAATCTCAAGTAATTCGAATATTGCATCGGCCACATCCTCCTATATTAAAAAAAAATTAAATTTAATAGTGTTCCAATCTATGAATCATTTATCTGGATATCTATTGGATATCTAATATTTAACAGATAATTGGATTACATGGATTAATAGATGGATAATTTGGTTATTCAGATAAATTATCCAGATTATGTATTATAATGCAAGGGGTGTAGTATTAATGCAAGAAGTGCAGTATTAATGCAAGGAGTGCAGTATTAATGCAAGGGGTGCAGTATTAATGCAAGAGATGCAGTATTAATACAAGGAGTGCAGCATTAATGCAAGGGGTGCAGCATTAATGCAAGGGATGGAGTATTAATGCAAGGAGTGTAGCATTAATACAAGAGATGCAGCATTAAGTATTAATTCATGAAAAAGATATAATATTATACAAAATTATATTATAAATAAAACTATTATAACATTTATTATTATAATAACTATAACTGTTATAACAATTACTATTATATATTTTTTTTTTAGTTTTAAGGTGACCTCTTGGTCGATTCTCTTTATTCAGTTATTAGTCAAGTTTTACCGTACGTTAAGCCCCTTACGACGCCCATACAGTATACATATTTTGGAGAGTACAAACTAGCCACACGTACAACTTTTGATTGCC